TTTTTTTTTTTTTGTTACCGGGCATCGAACGCGGGACCTTGCGTTTTCGAGGCAGGCGGGAGAACCACACTGAGCTAAATCCCCAGCCCAGTAATACAATGATTCTTAAAATTTGCCATTTTTTCTTAGTAGCAGAAAGCACAAAGGACAGAGAGGACATCTAGAAAGGAGTTATGCTTGGTAGACCTAGATGAGTAATTGTATAGGAGTAATTGTACAGCAGTGGGTGAAGAAATCATTTTACTAGGTTGAAAAACTGATAATACTTCAGCATAAACCCCACTTTCCTGTCATCTTACTTTTATTGAAATACAACATAAGTGCATAAAGATTAGCTAAGTTTTACAAAGGGAACACTCAGGTAATTAGCTTCCCAATCAAGAGATTGAATGTTGTCAACATCCTTAACGCCCTCTTTATCCTCTAATTATTAGTGATGCCCAAGGGTAACCACTGCTTTAACTTAAGATAGTTTTGCCTGTTTTCAAAGTTTATATAAATATGGCCAGGGATTTAGCTCAGTGGTTTCACTGCCTGCTGTGCAAGCGCAAGGACCCGAGTTTGAGCCCTGGTACCAAAAACAAAACAAAACAAAGTTTATATAAATGTGTATTGTTTCTCATATTCACTGTACATCAAAATTAAGTCATGTATTAACTCATGTTGTTACATAACTTGAGTTAGTTTGTTCTTAGAGCATTTCATTGCATGCCCATATCAAAGTTTCATTTGCTGATGAAAAAGCTTCCATTTTAGGATATTATGAATAGGATTTCTGTTCCTGTCCATGGCCTGGTAGATATACACCTTTATTTCTGCTTGGTATATACCAAGGGGTAGAATTGCTGGAACATAGAGTAGCCAGCTTTAGTTGACATTGCCAAATAGTTTTCCGAAGAGGTCATTTCACTGTACACTCTGAGTAGTATATGATTGCTAGTTGTGCTGGGCATCTCTTGATACTTTCCATGTAGCTGTTCTGATAGGTACGTCATATGTAGTTATGGATTTAATTTGTATTATAACTAATGATGGTACACTTTTGGGGGGCTTTTTATATTTGGTAGGAAAAATATGAAAAGCTGTATTTTATAGAAACTCTGTCCATCTTGTGCCATATAGGAAAAAGCCTTGGGATTGGAATGGACAGTGTAGACATAGCAGGAGGAGCAATTGATTTGGGGTGAGAACAGCTTTGATTCTTGCAAGACAATTGTATTTGGCTCAGAGAGGAAAAGAACCATTGGAGAGTTCTATGAGTAGTTGAATAAACTCTTAAGGATGTTCACTTTCTAGGAGTGCCAAACAGTTCTCCACTTGTTTTTCTCCAAGTTGACTTCCTCTGTTTTATGATGGGAAAGATAGAGTCTTTCACAGTACTGTACAAAGTTAAATGACTTGTGGCCTAGAGAGTAGTATATTACATCGTGTTAGTCCATTTATTTTGAGCTACTGTCTTAAACATTCTTTGTTATCCTCCAGTGGATGAGCTCCTTCTATGTACTGTTTAACAGAACAAATTATAAACTAGAAGACTGGCTTATAGTTTAAAAATTTTTTAAAAGCTTGTTTTATTTTCTGTTCAGATTAGATGTTGCAAATCTGAATTTTCTGGTTTGTTGAAATCGTAGAATCTAGCCATATTGAATTGGCATTCTGATAGAGCAGAAATTGGCTGGAGCAGAATAGAGGCACACCATTTGCTACCTGGCTTTCTTCATTCATTTGTAATCCACTTGAATTCCATAAGTATTCTGGTTTGCTAGAGTGATCTGATGAATTCTTTGGCCTTACTAGCTTACCCTCACATTTACCTTCAGTCAAGGCTAAAAGTGTTTCTCAAGCTATTTAGCCATAGAACAGCAGGACCTCTTGAGGTAGGATCTTGTGAGGGAAGCTTTTCCTTTTAATAACCATAATCTAGAGTTAGCTACATTCACTTATTCAACAAGTAGTTGAGTACTTAACCATGAGTCAAGTCTGGACATATAGCAGCAAACACAATAGACAAAAATTCCTGACTTCATGCAGCCTCTAGTCTAGTGGTCTCCCTTTTGTTTTGTTTTGTTTTTGGTACAGGGGATCGAACTCCGGACCTTGTGCTTGCAAGGCAGGCACCAGAACCACTGACCTAAATCCCTGGCCCCATCCCTCTTGCATTTCTATAAATTTCTTGAGTCTGCTTCTTGTTCTTTGTATGAAGATCACTTGCCTGGTATCCCTGAGCCAGATCTTTCTTAAGAATACATTGTTTTAGCCAGGCACAGGGGCATACACCTGTAATCTCAGCTATTTGGAAGGCTGAGGTAGAAGGATTGCAAGTTTGAGGCTAGCTTGAGCACTTAGACTGTCTCAAAATAAAAAATTAAAGAGCTGGAATGTAGGTCAGTGGTGTAATGCCCCTGGATTCATTCCTCAGTACTTAAAAAATAAAAATTTCTCAAGAAGCCTTTATGATAATCTTTTGCTATACTTTCTTAACTTTCAAAGCCCCAAGCTCTTTTATCTTCAGTCCTTTCTTTAATTCTGCTGCTAGAATTTCTTAATTTTCATACCTTCTTAGCAGTGAATTGCTATATCCATTTATTCCTTGTGTTTATTTCTCAGGCAAACCAGTGTGCATTGATATTTAATTGCAATTTACTTAATACCAAAAACCAAGAATTCTACATATGTATTCTTAAAGCATTTAAGAGGCAAAAGTCCTCCCTCTGCAAAACAAACTCAGATTTTTTTCTAAGGGCATTGCTCTTCAAGTTACTGCCTAATTTTTCCTCTGCCTTTCAGTAATAATGTGCTCTACAATGTAAACTTATTCATTATTAGCACTGCTTTATCTCTCACTGACTGTGCAGACCTCTCCGATCTGATCTCTTTAGAGGTAGTGATACTTTTTTTAACAGTGGTTGATGCTGCTCTCCTGATTTTTAAATCTGTTGTCCTTTAACTTCCATTTTTGCCATTGAACACAATATGATCCATGAGCATAATATGATCTATCCAGTTGAAAAGTCCCGGTGTGCTAGGAACTGTGGTGTCAGTTACCTTTTTTTTTTTTTTTTTGAGACGGGATCTCACTTTGTAGTTCAGGCTGGCCTTGAACTCATGGCAGTCTTGTCTCAGCCTCTCAGTCTTGTGCTGGGATTACAGATGGGAGGCAACATGCCCCCTACCTTTTTTGTTTTGGTACTGGAGGTTGAACCCAATGTCTTCACATTGAACTACATCCCCAACCCTTCTCAAATTTAAAAAAAATTTTGAGTTGCTAAATTGCTGATGTACCCAGGCTGGACTCAAACCTGTGATCCTCCTGTCTCAGCCCCCCAAAATGCTGGTATTGTAGGCATGAACCACCATGCCTGTTTAAAGTTACCTTTTTTGTCTTTTAAAACCTCTTAAAATTTTATGAAAACTAGGGCTGGGGATGTAGCTCAGTGGTACCACATCTGCCTGACAAGCACAAGGTCCTGAGTTCGATCCCTGGTACCGCAAAAAAAAAAAAAAATTATAAAAATTTAAGTATTAAGGGATTTTAGAGCTGGGTGTGGTGGCTCATGCCTGTAATCCTAGCACACGAGAGGCTGAGACAGGATTTCTGTGAGTTTGAGGCCAGCCTGGGCTATACAGTGAGTTCAAGGCCAACCTAAGCTGTACAGTGAGACCCAGTCTCAAAAAAACAAAGATAACTGATTTTATTCTAATTTTTTTTGTGTCTGTAAAATCTTCATTACTCCCCACACTCAGCAACCATTATTCACGTTCATATTTCAGCCTGTAAATTTATTTGGTAGCATTTAATATTATGAGGATTACCTTCGTTTATTTTCTCCTTTGACTTCTGTGGCAGTACTTGGTTTACCCTCCCAACTTGCAAATTATATTATTTCTTCTCCCTTAACATGTTAGTCCCTGAGGTATTTTCCATTTTATTACCTTCTTTGCTAATCCTGTCTGTCCATAGAATCTGATTGTCACCTTCCTATGTGCTAATAAACCTGAAATGTAATTCTTTGAACTCCAAGCTTATGTTTCCATTTGTTTGCCATCTTCATGAGAATCGCATATTCAAACTCAAGTATAAATCAGAAGAACCGGGTGTAGTGGTGCATACCTGTAATCCCAGCACTTGGGAGACTGAGGCAGGAGGATCACTGTGAGTTCAAGGCCAGCCTAAACAACGTGGTGAGACCTTGTCTCAAAAAAAAAAAAATTAAAACAATTCATCTTCTGCAGGTGTCTTCTTTCTAACTATCCTAGGCCAAAAACTTGGTAATATATTGACACCTCTGTTTATACCCTTGCGCTGGTTCGGTTTAGTCTAGCTAATTTTAAATAGTCGTGACTGTTTTACCATTTTAGTTTTTATTCCCACTGCCATGGATTATCAGTGATGGTAAACCTTTTAGAGCTTTCAATGATACAAATAGCCCATTGCAGTACACTTGCTGTAGGTTCAACATCCTTGAATTAGGTTCTCATTACTTAACAGTGCATGCATAATTCCTACCATGAAAAGTACATTTTCCAGTTGATGTCCTTCCTAATTGCTGCTGTAGAATTCTAAGAAAAATAAATAAGGTTTGAAAATATTCTTCAGCTTGAAAGCCATTTGACTCCACATTAAAGATTGAAGAAATTTGTACTTTGAAAAGTCTGATGCTAGACATCTAGTGCAGGCTTTGATTCAAGCATGTTGGGATGCCTATCTGTTTAGAATACTCTGCCTTGTTTGTGCTTAAAATGAAAGGCTTTGGATGCAGCCTTCTGTTCTGCTGTATTCAGAGTAGCTCTAATTTTTTGTTACTATCAGAATTCAGACTTTCTTTAAAAAAAATGCCATTGACTTTATAAAAACTGGAAATCAATGCATTTTTGCCACAATGAAATTTGATAAAAACTAAAAATTAATAGCTTTAGCTGGGATCTATAGATTTGACCTTCTGCTTTTCATTATCAATAATAGGATACTATTAGTCTGCAAAACTAACATGTACATGTCAAAAATTTAAACTAGTTTTTAATTATAAAATTCACACACGTGATTGTTGAATATATTTGTTATGTATGCATTTTTATGCTTAACTGTTATCACCACTTTTCTGAGCATATTTATAATACAAACATTTCTTTACTCCAGAGGTAAGTACTGGTCCATTATTTGTTTTTCCAGAAATTATCTCTGCCTATACAAATACATATCTTTTTAAAAAAATTAAGTTATAATATGGTTGTGTACTTAATTTTTCATTTAATACACTATCTTGGAGATATTTTTTTCCTTTACTGTCTTGTCTTTCTCTTCGTTTGTACTGAGGATTGAACCTAGGACCTTCATACTGAACTACATCCTCAGCCCTTTTTTTATTTTGAGACAGTGCCTCACTAAGTTTCTAAGTTACCCAGGTTAGCCTTGAATTTGTAATTCTCTCACCTCAGCCTCCCAGAGTGTTGGGATTACAGGCATGTGCCACCATGCCTGGTTTGGAAATATTTTTTAATGGATATATAAAAATATATCTGGTTTTCTTAAATGGCTGTATGGTAGTTCACTGTATGGATATACAGTATTTAAACAATTCCTTGTAATGGACTGTTGCATGGATTTCTTAGTAATGAACATTTGTATACATAATGTCAGAGTTGAATTTTAACTCAGTAATTGCATAAAATATAGAGCAGTGATGGTAAACCTATGGCACATGTATCACAGTGTGCTGTTTGTATCATTGAAAGCTCTAAAAGGTTCAACATCACTTGTATAGAGAATAAAAATAAATAAGGTCTTTGATCTGTGCTCAGTTATTCTAACTGGCTATGAAACCACACATAAATTAGGTTGGTGTATGGTTCTTCTTTGCTCAAACCTTTCCCCATTGCCATTTTGCCCAAAGGCTTTCGAACCAGTCTCCTTGGTGTGGCCCCAATGACCCTACTTGGTTTGTCTGCCTCACTGACCTTGTGAGCCACCATTCTATCCTTAGTGTCTGTTTTAGCCACCCTCTTGCTTTCGCTAAGGTATCTAGTCGAGTACCTAACCTCTCTGAGACCCGTGAGCATCTTGTGCCCACTTCATAGGATATCTTTCCTCAAATGTTTCTGAGGGTTATTTTTTTCTGTGTCAATTTAGATACACTTCAGACTGTCTGCTCATGTTTTTTTTCTAGTGTATTTCAGTGTTTGAGTGTGTCTTCCATCATGGAATGCATGAGAAGAGGACTTTGTGTTATTCATGGCAGATAGCATGTCTTGAAAGTATTCCCAGGCCCTAAAACAGTTTTTGGCACTTAGGAGGCATTCAGCACACAATAACCAACCTGACAACTACTCTGCACCTGTTTCTTCTGTGTGGGAGGGATGGTGATGCTTACCTTAGAATTTTCTAGGGTTAAATGAGATAATGCATGTAAATCCTCTATTTAAAATCTTTAAAAAACATTGAACAGTCATTAGTCTTCCTACTAACACTTTATCTCCAGCATGGAAAATTTCTAAGGTATTTTTTTTAACCATGTTTTTTTTTTTCTTTTTTAACCATGTAGTTTATTCTTTTGCACTTGTTGATAAGCATTAAGCCCTTTCATAAAATGATTTCATACTAAATGATTTTTTGTTTTTTTGAGACAGGGTCTCGCTATGTATAGTCCAGGCTGGCTTTGAACTCACTGTGTAGCCCAGGCTGCCCTCGAACTTTCGGTGGTCCTCCTGTCTCAGCCTTCCATGTGCTGGGATTACAAGCATGTGCCACCATGCCTAGCGATACTATATGATTTTTCATGAGATTCCTAATAGTCTATTTGGAGAAGAGTGAATTTATCAAGCAGTATTGTTATTATTTGAACATAACTGTTAGGTAAACTTTAACATGCTTTGAATGGTATTCCAGGCATTGATAATGAGAAGGTTGTTGCTCTGGCTTGATACCTTTGGCAAAACTTGCCTTCTCGGCCTTGCACCATTAATTATAAAGTTGGCAGCTACCAAAGTGTAATATTTCCAGTGGTGGAAAAATAAGCTGGAAACTACTTAATCTTGAAGTTGGTTAGAAACCTAGATGTAGCAGCAGCCAGAAAGTCTCCTGCCATTTACCAAGTAATGAAATTGTAAACTTGAGCAACCACAGGCAATTCCCTGTCCTTGAGGATTAACCAATAGGTGACAAAGCTTACTAGGATTTTTTCTTTGCAATATAGAAATTTTCAAACATCTACAAGAATGTAAGGAGTAGTATCATTAATCTCCCTAGTCAATATAAATAATAAGCTACATATTCTTATTCATATATTCCTAGTCCATCATTTTCCTCCCATTTTGGAGCAAATCACAGATTTTATTTCATCCATAGAGAGATTAGATTCTTTTTTTTGGTACTGGTGATCGAACCCGGACCTTGCACTTTCAAAGGAGGCGCTGGAACCACTGAGCTAAATTGCTGGCCCAAGAGATTAGATTCTTAATTTTGTATTTTGTTATTGTAATGAAATTGGTTTAAACTTTCTCAGCCATTTTCTAAATTTGTCAAGATTGAAAAGACAATTACTAGTCTAGTTAAATACAACTCTTCTGTTATAATCCAAGAAAGGATAGCTCAGTACAGTGGTACCTCTGTTTATGAAATGAATTTGTTTTATGATTTTGGGGGAGATGGCTGTGTTTGTGTGGGGAAGATGGCCATGGTCATGTTTGTCACCCAAGCGAGAGTTTGCAGAGTTTGTGAATGGAAGCAAAATTTTGCCCAATGCTTTTGTTAAACTTAAAATGTGTTAAAAATTACCATGAAAATGATCCTTAAAACAATCATTTGTGCTAGAGACATTCCAACTTAAAGCCACTGCATATTTTTAGCCAGTTGCGTGGATTTAAGTTGTTTGTGTGTGTGTGTGTGCCTGTTTTGTGTTTTTTCCTGTAGGAATCCTATGAAGATGGTTGTGAAGATTATCCTACTCTATCAGACTATGTTCAGGAGTTTTTGAATCATCTTACAGAGCAACCTGGCAGTTTTGAAACTGAAATTGAACAATTTGCAGAGACCTTGAATGGCTGGGTTACAACAGATGATGCTTTGCAAGAACTTGTGGAACTCATCTACCAGCAAGTAGGTTGGCTAATAGCATGGGGTAGTGTCCTTGAATTCCAAGGATGATAGTTACTCCTTAAAGGAGGCCAGGTTCATGTTCATCTGTCTCCACAATTGGTAATTCTTATGGTTCGTGGGAGCTTTGAAATCTGTCTTGTATGAAATTTCTGTCCTTGGAGATCCTGTCCCAGAGCCAAATTGGACTGCTAATCCACCTTACAGGAAATAGGCTTTGTACAGGAAATATTCATTGGTGTAGCTAAGATGCTATAAACATGGCAGTACTGCAGGAGATTTGGGCTAAGCTTAGGGGAAGACTACATAAATATCACCTTTTTTTCCCTCTCCCTGTTTTGGAAGATCTGAAACTAACACAGAAGAAAAAGTGCAGCTATTTTTTCCCTGCATGAATTATTGGAGGAACAATTATTATTCCTAGGTGTAGTATTGGAGAAGGGGAGAAAAAAGTCTTGGGAGAACATTCTTGCCTCATAAATGAGTCTTTTAAAAAAAAAAACAGACTGCAAAATGGGTTGTCCTGAGTCTTAACATTTTTACTTGTCTTAACTTTCTCTTTAATTTTAAGAATTTACATCTTGACTTCTTAATTCCTTGAAAGTCTGTCGAATTTTTTTGTCATACAGTGTTTAGTTTTCGTCTTAATCTGTTGACCACTGACACATTAATGCTATTTTAGGAGTGAAAGTATGGAGTAGACAGAACACTAGCTTTTTTTTTTTTTTTTTTTAGGGATCGAACTCGGGTCCTTGCGCTTGCACAGCAGGTGGCGAAACCACTGAGCTAGATCCCTGGCCCCAACACTAGCTTTTTAACAAAAATATTTTGTCATTGTGAGTCTGACCAGAAATAGGATATGAACAGAAATATAAATTTTAGTGTTCTTTAAGTCACTGCTTGAAAGAGCAATTTAAATTAAGAATACATGGAAGAGTGATCAGAGTAGCAAACTGATCCTGTCTAATGTTTCATTTGGCTACTTTCCCAAGTTTCAGACTGTTACTGGACCCCAGTTACTTAGCCAACTATTAAGTTTCAGGAACAGTGTGAGTTTTAGGAAATAAAACTGCTCTGTCCTGATTCTTACTTTCTGCTTCTACATGGATTGAAAAGGAATATGAGATAAGAAAATGGAAAAAAACACTTCTTGCTTTTCTGATTTCTCTATTTAGTTTCTGCCATTCAATAAGATGCATAATCATAGTTCCTGAGGGCTGGGTGGATGATCTGTAACCTGATGAGCTGTATGATTTGTCTCAAAGCCAGTTCTTCAGATATGTACTCAGTTCACATTTTTTAAGGTTTAACTATTTGTTGTCAGAGATACATTGATCTGATGTACAGGTTTATCCATAGCTTTTAAGTTTTATTAAAGTAATTTACCAACTAACAGTAAAGGACCTATTATAAAAAACAGACTAAACATACACATTCACCCTTGATCCCACCTCAGATACCACTGAAGTGACTGGGGATTTGTAAAAGGTAGGGATCCAGTAAGGACAAAGAAGATGGAAGAAGATAAAAGCCTAATTTTGAGCATTAGAAAATAGATAAATGTTTGGTAACTAGCTATGTAGATCTAAAGTTAAGTTGCAAACCAGTGAGGAAAACTGAATTATCACATTGATTTACAGTGTAGAATCTCTAAAAATCTCTAGAAAAAAAAAGTTAAAGTAAGGCTAAAAAGATTTCCTGGGAATGTTAAAAAATTACTTTCTAGGACCGGGGATTTAGCTCAGTGGTTTTGCCACCTGCTGCGCAAGCGCAAGGACCTGAGTTCAATCCCCGGTACCAAAAGAAAAAAAAAAAATTACTTTCTAGATCTTTTTGCATCCAGTAGCCAGTGTGAAGTTTCATTGTAATCCTTAAATTAACAAAGGAGGTACTTCACCAAAAAGAGACACAGGCAAAGGCAAAGACACAGAACAAGGAAACAGGTAATTCTATAGGAGAGGCTAAATAAATTATCTAAATTATGGGGAAAGTTGATCCCAAGACATTAGCTGTGTGTGGTAGCGTGGCTGGGCTTCACTGGAATAGGTCAGAAGGCTTCAGGAAAGATGTCCCTGGTAAATTGAGCACACCTATGTTTGAGGATACTTGGAATAAATTGTACAACCTAGCTAATGAATATAGGGATAGGGAAAGTAAAATTGTTTTAAAAAGGGAAGAATTGATCTGTTACATGGTTCTGGTGCCAATGAAAACACAACTAAAATCATGTAAAACCATATTGGTAGGTGGTAGATAACGGAAATAGTGGAATGGAGGGGGCTTGAGTAGGGCTCATCTTCATGGTAGGAAACTAGTAAAAATTACATTTAAACTGAAAAATGTAGTGTGGAGATACAGAGGCTAAAATCTTTTCGGCTGAAAGAATTGAAAGTGGTTGTAGGAGAAAATTGAGGTGCAGGTAAGAAAGTAGAAAATTTGAATGACAGCCTTGTAGAACTAAGTCTTTGAATTATGAATGTGATAACTTCAAAAAGAAACTAAAGGAAAACAGACAAATGCCAATAATGGGAAAAATATCCGTTTGAATTTCTTTTGTTAAGCATGTATAGTATCAGGAGAAATCGGTCTTACCTTTTTTAGTGATATGTAAAGGGTCACCTGTGATCAAGGAAATAATTAGAAATAAAAGATAAAATAACTATAAAGTACTGTATGACAGACAGTGCTAAGCACTTCACATGTAGTTAACCCATTTAATCCTCAGTGGTTGCAAGCTATTACTTTTAACCCCATTTTATACATATCCAAACAGAGAGGTAAGTGACTGACCTAAGGTTACCACTCATGGTGAATAGACTCCATAGGAGGTCAAAGAGGCAAGAGGCCATTTGTTAGGCCCCAAATCTACAATTGATTACCTTTACGATCTTGGCTGGCCCTTAGCCACTTAGTGTGTTTTATTACCTAGTATAGGTGAAAAACTACGTTCTCTACTATTTATCTTTAAAAATTGTAATTAAAGTTAAACTTCCTGAGTGTTGCTTTGGCTACAACATACAATCTTTGATATCTAGTGTTTTCTCAGACTTTTTTTTTTTTAATAGCTTATCTGTTTTGATTTTCCCTTTACTCCAAGCATTGTTGGCTTGTTATTTAAGTGTTAGTCCCTTGTCCAGGTACAGTAGAAATCAAACAGAAGCTCAGGGAGGTGCAGTAATGTCCAAAGTCACAAAGCAGAATTCTCTGGCATCTTATTCTGGGCTGCTAGACCTGTAAATCTCTGTTGTCCTGCCCCTGAGAAGCACCACTGGTCAGTACTTTGGCAGCTGTTTTCTTCATTTAATTGTTGCTGCCATGCAGTTGGGTACATGTCCATATTTTCAGGGGGGGAAAAGGGGTTAGTATCAAGACATCAGTTGCTTTCTGGTAACCTCAGGTCAGTTGGGTGGTGGGGGTAAGGGAGAACTTGCCCTAAGCATTTTTCTTTGAACTTGTGGTTCTTGGTGTAAAATTGGGAGGGAGAGTAAACTTAATTTCCTTATACCTAAAAAAAGACTTACCATTTTCCTATACAATATGGTTACTTTTGGGAACCAGAGTGTTTTTTCCTTTAAAATGTTGCTAAATGTTTGCATTAATAACTGTATATATTTTTTATATATATATATATATATCATGCAAAACTTTTCTTTTTAAAAGGCCACATCTATCCCAAATTTCTCTTACATGGGAGCTCGCCTGTGTAATTACCTGTCCCATCATCTGACAATTAGCCCACAGAGTGGCAACTTCCGCCAATTGCTACTTCAAAGGTCAGTGTGCATATGAAATTGAAGGAAAATTACTTTTAAACATACTAGAATTTGACCGTTCCTCTTTTCTAAAGAATGTTTCTTTCTTTCTTTCTTTTTTTTTTGGTACCAGGGATCAAACTCAGGACCTTGCGCTTGTGAGGCAGGCGTGGTGCCACTGAGCTAAATCCTGGGCTCTAAAGATTGTATGTTGCAGAAAATTGTAGAGGAGAATAGGGTAGACCATTTTTATTTGCATAATGAAAGCTTATAATCAACTGTATCAAGTTCTTTTTCCCTGTTATGGTCTCTGCCTTTGGTTTTGTATTTAGAAGGGCCTTTCCAAGATATCAGAAATGCTCACCTTAGAGTACTTTAGAAATTTTGATTTGAGAAAGGATCTAATTTCATTAAGATTAGAATACAAGTGAATAATTCATTTCTTCCTGATTTATCTGAACTACCACCTTCATCACTTTCCATTCTTAAATTTGAATTTTAAATCTGGACATAGTTATATTTTCTTACGATTTGATCCTTCTACTTACCATACAAAACCTGTGAAAAACCTCTAATATTTTAAATATATGGTCATTAGTTATCCATTTAAGTCTTTCTATATTGTCTGGGCCAGCCTTGAAGTCACTTTATAGCCAGGCTGACCTCAAACTCAAGATCCTTCTGCCTTAGCCTCCAAGTGCTTGGATTACAGATGTGCACTGCTATACCCAGCTCGCTCGCTCTCGCTCTCTCTCTGTCTTTCTCTTTCTCTTTTTTTAGTCTGAGACAGGGTCTTTGTTATGTAGTTCAGGCTGCCCTTGAACTTTATAGCCCAAGCTGGCCTTGAGCTCATAGTGATCCTCTTGCCCTCAGCCTTTCGAGTGCTGGGATTACAGGCATGTGCCACCACACCCCACTTTCTCACATTCTTTTGTTTTTTGCAGTACCAGAGATCGAACTCAGGACCTCACACTTTCAAGGCAGGCACAGTAACACTGAGCTAAATCTTGGGCTCCTCTCATTCTTTTTTTTTTTTTTTTTTTTTTTTTTGGTACCGGCGATCGAACTCAAGTCCTTGCACTTGCGCAGCAGGTGGCTAAACCACTGAGCTAAATCCCCAGCCCCTACTCTCATTCTTTTTTGTGGTTATCTCCATTGCTTCATCATTTTTATCCAGTGAACTCTAAAATCAGTGCTTGAGTTACACAAACATTGGCAGTATTTGTTAAATATTTGGGGGAAAGTATTAAACTCATAAGCTAATTTAAGGAAAATAATTTTATCATTTTGAGTAGAGTTATAGTTTGTCCTTTAGATTATTTTTCTGACTTTTTGTTTAGTAGTACTGGAGTTTGAATGTAGGGCCTTGCTTGTGTGTGTTAGGCAAGTGCTCTACAACTGAGCTACATCCCCAGCCCTTTTTATTTTAAAATAGGGTATTGCTGTGTTTCCCAGGCTGGCCTCCAACTTGGGATCCTCCTGCCTCAAGCTTGAAGAGTAGCTGGAATTAGAGTCATACACCACTGAGCCTAGCTATCTGTTCTTTAAAGGTACCTCTAATGAGGCTGGCAGTTTAAAGGCCCTAGGTTCAATCTCTAGCACTGGAAAAAAAAAAGTGAAGTTGGTACTTCAAATGATTATGTAAAAGATGATTTGTGCTGCTCTGACAGCTGGAACATTCAGGAAAAAAAACAAAGATGGTTCCTGTCTTACTCTTTACACCAAATTAAATTCCAAATACATCATCAAAGACTCAAAGTGAAATAATAAACTCAGTACTAAGGGTGCAAATTGAGAAACAAAACTCTAGAGTTGGTAAAGCCCTTTTCAGTAAGACATGATACCCATGGGTCCTAAAAGAAGGCATTAACAAATTTACGTATCGATTATAACAGTTGGTAGAAGGCATAAATTTAATGAAGTGAAAAGAGGAAAATTTGTAGCACATGGCAGTGAACTTGTTCATATAATAACTAAAAAAAGAGACCTCTTAGGAATAAGTAAGAAAAAGACCATTGTCTTAATAGAAATATTTGGAATGCCTTTGGATAGGTACAGTTCAGAAAAATATATATGATAATTTTTTAAAAGTTACCTATAACTAAAGAAATCCAAGTAATATCTTCTAGACAGCAAATGAAATGCAAGGGATAGATTCTTGGTAATTTTAGGAGACAGAATGCCAGAGAGGCTGCTTTATTGCATTCCTCAGTGCTGCTCACCCCTAGCTGTGCATTGAGTTGCATAGAGATTTAAAATAGGGCTGAGACCCTGCCCCCACTGTGGAAACTGATGTACAGTAATTGATCAGTGGAGGCTGAGTAGTCTTTTTCTTTTTAAATTAAGAGCCATTCTTCTGGTTTTCTTTGATTTTTTCTTTGTACCCCCTCCCTGTGTGCAGTTCTATAGTACTATAATGCTGTAAAAGACACTAATATAGAGAAATGCTAATGATACAAGTGAAAAACAGCTTAATCCTAACTTACTGAAAAATGTATACTTTGAAAAAGAATGAAGTTACCTTTGCAGCAGTTACCTCTTGGTTGTAGTGGTATTGGAGACAACTTTGATCTTTGTTTTCCCTGTTTTTACCTTCTTCGAAAAAAATACATTGCTTTTATAACTGAAAATGAATAGCTCTAAAAGGCTTAGGGTCTTTCACTTAGATAATTAGCCATGTACAAGGATAAGGATTTACTTTTCAAAAACATCATGTCCTAATGTACAATCTAATGGTCTTAGCATTTTATAAAAGAAAAAAGTGGTTTAATTGAAACTCTAACCTGCAAAGTTGTAACAGAAAGGAAAGAAAAGAGCCAACAAGGTGCTTGGATAGCTGAGCTGGCAGTAATTAACTGGTCTTTTCCATTAATTAGTCAGTGCATTCTATATAAATATTCCAACTTTTTTTCTGGTGGTGATAGTTAATACAGCTTGTGAATACTAGAATTGGCCATATAGGTACTATAAGCTATGCTGGTTTTGTGGTAGTTTCAGACTGACCCAAGGTAAATATTTGGGCAATAGGTAATTTCTTTGGCTTTGTTAATTTAAGAATAAGAAAGAAAGAAAAAAAAACATAAACTGGCTTTATGGAAGCCATTTGGTCTCCTTAATCTCTTCCCTTTTGTTCTTTAGAAGAAAAACTATAAAAATCAGTTTTGCCAGACAAATTACTTTCCCAGAGTTTTCTCACCATTTTATCAATAAAGAAAAAAATACTTAACACCAAAATGATAAACTTTAAAATCCACTTTAGTAGTACCAGTAACTGACTCCATAATTCATTTATGAAGACAATGACTAGCTTATTGTAATTAGATACTTTGTGGAAAGTGTGATTAAAAGCTCCAAGATAATTTTGTTGTTGTAACCTGTGTGACACTAATGGGGCAAGTTAAGAGAAAATAAAGTAAGGAAAAATCAGTTATTTTGATGCTTTAAGTTTCAATTGGAAATAGAGGTCAAATTAATTACTTTATACAATCGGAGTTTTTTCCTCACTGAAATGAAAAGTATAAGAACCATGAACTTAAAATTTTATTTACAATTTAGTCGGAGGCCAACTATATATATATA